GTGTGTGTGTGTGTGTGTGTGTGTGTGTGTGTGTGTGTGTGTGTGTGACTTCCTCTCCATTGCCTTACATTAACAGACACTTAGACTAATTTATTATTCACACAAACACATCGACCTGCTGTCACAGGTTGGATTTTCTTACCACAATCAGTATTTCCCTGTGCCTGAGTGAGACAAAATTGGTACGGCTTCTGTCAAACCCGGGAATATTTCAGTAAAAATCAGTAAAAACTGACACCGAAGGGCCTTGCACATGCACCTGCTCCCCCACATGTACATCTGTGCAGACATCACACGCACACGCCACACACGCACACCACAGCCAGGCACACAGGCCACAAACGCCCCAGTTCCGCTGTAGGCAGTTTGCCCATCCACCCCTCCCATCCGCAGGGCATTGGCTCATGGGAGGTAGTTTTTTAGGGGGCAGTTAACCCCCAGCCAATGTCTGACACCCCCCCCCCCAAACAAGCTGCCAGCTTTCAGAGGCTCAGGCTGAGAGATCGTCCTTCCTGATTCCTGTGAGTCACTGACAGATCCCAGCTTGTCCCTCGCCCAGGATGGGGCTGAGGGCAGGGGGACATGGCTGGGGGTGGGAGGTTTCTGCTGGGCCCCACTGGGTGACCCTGGTGTCCCCTGAGCAAGGGAGGAAGCTGCTGGTTAACTCAACCTTGCTCCTGTTGCTTTAGGGCGCCACAGCCTGGCCGTGCTAGTCACAGCCGTCACCCACGAAGACGGGACTCAACACTTCATCATGATTGCCCGGCTGGATGATGTTCAGATCGCGTACTACAACAGTGACACGCGAGAGCTCAGACCCACCGAGGAGTGGGCGGCACAGGCCATGGGCGCTGAGTATATCAAGGAAAAGACCCAGGAGTTCTGGGGGTTTGAGGAGGGCGCTAGAGGCGAAACCAGATGGTTGATGCAGCAGTACAACCAGACGGGCGGTGAGTGTCTGAGAGTTGTTGTTATTAATGGACACGCGAGAGCTGCCCGCTCAGAATCACTCCCACTGGGGATTGGGGCCTTGCTGTGCTAGGTGCTGCCCAAACCAGAGCTGGCTGGAAAATGGAGTTTTCTTCCCACAGAAAATGTGTTATTCCCGGAAGTGGTTTCATTCCCGATCGGAAGGAAAGTCGGAAATGGGAGGTTTCCCGCGGGAAGAAAATATTTCATAAATTCCATCCCAGGCAGGGAGCCAGGCAGCCCTGGGATCTTCCCTTTCAATTTCCCCAACAGAAAATCAATGTTTTCTGGCCAAATTGAAATTTTCTTACGAAAAATTACAATTTTGTGTAAACAGCCTTTCCCAAGGCTAACAGAAAGTCAGGAACCATTAGGAAAGGGACAGATAATCAGACAGAAAACGTCATAATGCCTCTATATAAATTCATGGTGCGCCCACACCTTGAATACTGTGTGCAGAGCTGGTCACCGATCTCAAAAAGGTCAGAGTGGAACTGGAAAAGGCTCAGAGAAAAGGGTAACAAAGATGATCATGGGTATGGAACGGCTTCCATATGAAGAGAGAGAAAAAAGATTAGGGCTGTTCGGTTTAGAAAAGGACGACTAAGGGGGGATATGATAGAGTCTATAAAATGATGACTGGGGTGGAGAAAGTGAATAGAGACGTGGTCTTTACCCTTTCCCACAATAATAAACCGGGGGTCACCTGATGAAATTAACAGGCAGCAGGTCTAATACAAACAAGAGGAAGTACTTTTTCACACAACGCACAGTCACCCTGAGAAACGCGTTGCTGGGGGATGTTCTAAAGCCAAAAGTGTAACTGGGTTCAAAGAAGAACTAGAGAAGTTCCTAGAAGATCGGCCCATCGATGGCTATGAGCCAAGATGACCAGAGATGAAACCCCATGCCTGGGGCGCCCCTAAACCTCCACCTGCCAGAAGCCAGGAGGGGAAGTGTAGCGGGATAGTCACCTGCTCCTGCTCTGAGGGGTTTAAAAACAGCCCTTGGAAAGGATGGGGGGGGGGGGTGAGAGAGAACACCCTGGGCTGATTGAGGGAAGTAGTTGCAGCTGGGCCACGCCCCAATCAGAGCCCAGCTGGCCCTATAAAGGCCAGGGCGGCCAGAAGCTCAGCAGTCTCTCTTGAGTGCAGGGAGAGAAGGGGGGTGGGTGTCTGTGTGGATGCAGACACGCCTGGCCTGGCTGCAGGGAGCTAGAGACAGGATACATGAGTGGAGCAAGGCTGGGGAGCTCCAGCCTGGAAAGCCCCAGGCTGCAGTCTAGCATTGGGCTAAAAGATACTGGGGGTTGCAGAGGGCAGCCCAGGGCTAGGCCAAGGCAGCAGGTCCAAACCCTCCTTGCCTGTGATGAGTGGCTTATACTGCAGTCTGCCCCAGGGAGTGGGGCTAGATGGTGACTGGCAGTAGCTGTACACTGAGGTGAGGTAGGGTTGGTGGGTGGGGGTTCCCTTGGGAGGGGAGACCTAGTGTGTGGGTACTGCCAGGGGGCAGCACCCAGAGCAAGGGGCCAGGGTCCTGGGAGGGACACAGGGCCAGAAGTAGAGAGCAAGGCAGATCACTGGCCTGCAGAGGGCGCTCTGGAGGCTGGGTCGAGCTAATTCCCTGAGAGACCAGCAGGAGGCGCCGCAGGGGTGAGTCCGCTCCTCTTACAGGAAGACCGGGGTGGATCACTCCAGAATTGCCCTGTTCTGTGCACTCCCTCTGAATCTCTGGTGTTGGTCAGTGTCAGACCTTGGTCTCACCCCGTATAGCACCTCTCATGTTCACCGCTGGAGAGACTCCAGGAGCTAGTAACTGTCCGACAGGATCCCAACCCCTCAGTCCTTCCCGTGGGTCTGCTCTGACCCCTCCTGCTCCTCGGCGTCCTCTGGGATTGTTCGCTAGCTCAGCGTAAGGTCCCCACACGGTCAGAGACGGTAAAGTGCCGGTGTCACCGACCGGCCGAGTGTCCTCTGACACCCCCCCCCCCCCCCCACACACACAGAGACACATTTCCCAGTTCTCAGTGCCCTGGTGTCACCGTCCATCCGGCTGAGCCCCCTCTGACCCCCCCCTTTCCCCTCCAACGGACACATTTCCCTGATTTCAATGCACGGTCTCAGCTCTCTCCCTCCTCCACAGGGATTCACACTGAGCAGGTTCACGTGGGTTGTGCGCTGAGTGACCAGGCCCCCATGGACCCGAGGTTCCAGTACGCCTACGATGGGGGGGACTTCATCAGCTTTGACAACCAGACCGGGACGTGGGTCGCGGCCGTGCAGCTGGCTGTCCCTGTGAAGCAGCTCTGGGAGACAGGGGACAAGTTCTGGACTCAGTTTGTCCAGCGGTACCTGCAGCACGAGTGCCTGGAGACCCTGCAGAGCCTGGTGCAGCGGGCAAGGGCGGTGCTGGAGCGACACGGTGAGTGAGCAGTGGGAAGCTATGGGTTGGGGGGACGGGGCACAGGGACACCAATGGGACTTGGGTATGTCTGGAAGGGGCAGTGTGACCTAGTGGAGAGTGTCCAGAGTCGCAGGTCAGTGCATCTGGGTTCTATTCCCAGCTCTGCCACTGGCCTGCAGGGTGACCTTGGGTCAGTCACTCCCCCTCTCGGTGCCTCCATTTCCCCATCTGTACAATGGGGATAATGGCACCAACCTCCTTTGTAAAGTGCTTGAGATCGACCGATGGGTTATTAGTCGGTTCTGGCTGCCTGGGCATCTCCGTTCTGCAGGGCCTTTCCTGTTGGCTTCCAGCTCCCTCAACCTTCCCTTTTCAGGCTGAAATGTCCCAGCTCTGGGCTGTGAGTTGGTTTTTTTTGGCATGTTTGGTCCGGAAAAGGCCCAGCCCTTTGTGAGTGTGAAGGAGGTGGGGTGGGGGAGGGGGATGCACGCTGTCATTATTAAAATAAAAACTTGTTTTGAGGTTCTTGTGCCCAGCGCTGGTACCTCCACAGTAGAGGGCAGAGACATGGACGGGGACAGGGACTCGGGGCCGTGGGAGAAAGGGATTTAAGCCACTGACAATGCAGACTGGGGCCAGCTGGGATTTCCGAACGCTTGACTCCTCATGTTACCAGATTTGCCCATTACTTTGGAGTATGCTCATTTATTCGGGTTACTTTTTTTGGGGAAGGGGATTTTGTAATCTTATTAATGTACTGCTTGTGTCACTTGTGTTTTCATATGGAGCTCTACTTCTCCCTTCTGCAAGTCCCCTCCCAGTGGAGCTATCCTGCAGGACCTAGGGTCCCTAGGGCTGGGTTTCTCCAGCCCCAGAACCGGATGAACACCCACCCACACACACACACACATACATTAACAGAGCAAGTCTGAGCGGACCGGGTCAATCAGCACCGTCAAGCTGACCCCTTATATGTCTCTGGACTCACTGGGCTGGAGGAAGCAGCACTTTCAAGCTACCTCTCCTTATATGCCCCTGGGCTCCATGGACTGGGTCAAGCAGCACTTTCAATCTGTTACCCTTATGCGTTCCAGATTCAGCACGTCCCTATCCTCACTCCCCCAACACAATTGTACTGGCAGTAACCTACTTGATGAGCAAACCCCACAGTATTCTGGGCGCTGCAGGGATCTTTAGCTTAGGTAAAAGAAGCGCTGCTGTAGAGTGAATGGGGGAAGCTAAAAACACAAAAGAGTAAAGTTCAGCAAGAGAGAGAGAAGCAACCAACTTAACCATAGAAGTTATTTATTGAATAATAGTGATAACTACACAAGGGGGGCTAAACCAACATAACATACACGATTAAAGGTTAATACCTAAGGTAGAAAGGAAAACAGAGAGAGAGAAAGAGGGGGGATCTCACCCGCTCCATGAGGCTTGAACTGGTCGGGGTTCCCAGGTGGTGGTGGTAGCGGAGGGTCCCGAGGGCAGGAGACAGGCAGAGCCCCCAGCACGATCAGTCAGGAGATGGAGTTCCAGTGGAACTGATGCAGAGTTTGGATCTAAGCATCAGAACCCTGACTAGAGGGTGAGTAGGGATTTTTGTAGAGAAATTACAATTGTTCAAGGGAGAACACTAGATTTGTTTATAGGTAAACTGATGACGCCAGGGTTTTCTTTAGACTAGACAATAGGAGCTGATCACTCTTGGCTATGGGTGGTGTTTTCTTCCAGGGAGCTCACAATGCAACTAGGCTGCTTCAGTATTTGGATATCAATAAAGGATTTATGACTAGAATTGGTCTGATAACTGCTGAGCTGGGTGTGGGCAGGCATGGGTTCATTAGCATCTGGAGCAGAGATTCCCAGGATGCAGTGCTTCCCTGCTTTTTCTGGTCCCAGAATTCAGTGTGGTTCTCTGTTCTCCATTCTGTATGTAAATTGAGATGTCTTCCTGTCCCATCTTTCATGCAGATGAGGCATGGGGAGTTGTCTCTGCTCTCCATTCTGTATGCTAATGGAGATGTCTTCATCTTGTCACCCTTGTCAGGAGGGGTCTGGGTCTGTCTCCCAACGCCCTTCACTGCTCTCTGCAAGTTTTTTTTCCTCTGATGGGTTTTGGTTTAAGCAGAGGCTGGGGGGGTGTCTTTCATGAGTCAGGCTGGATACTGCGCCCTGGTTCCCCAGGAATACAGAGGTGTCTGGTATCAGCCATGAGATCACCGGGGTGAGGCACCGAGGGGCGTTTGGAAATCTGGCCCTTAGCCCCTAAATCGTACACGTGTGTTTGGGTGGCCCAGTGACAACCTGCCTGGGCGTAGCCATGTTATAGCGCGGGATTGCACGCAGCGAAGGAGACCCGGGCACAGGCCTGTTCTGGCAACTACCCAGTTCAGCCACCACCAATGTGAGCAGTTTGAGTGAGTCTGCAGAGGGGTGTGAGCCAGGTGCCTGGGGCAGCCCTCACTGAAAATGCCAAGCTCAGGGCAGGCTGCAAAAAGATGAGCAGATTCTCCCAAAACTGGCCATTAACACTGAAGTTAGATTCACTAACCAGTTACAAACTGTGCTTCTGATTCCCCACACTGGTTATCAAGAAGCTGAAAAAAGAAATCACAAAGCCCCCTTTATTGCATTCCAGTTCTCTGGCTCCCAATTAGCACCTAGGTCCCGTAAAGCGAGAAGTTATTTAAAAACTCTGCTCATTATACAAAATGTTCTTCTGACCCCAAAGGGACAGCCACATTACCAGGTCAATATTAGGTTGGATCTTACCCAAAATCCCACGCTGCCAGCCAATCCTTTAGTGTCTAAAACTAAAGGTTTATTAGAAAAGAAAAGAAAAAGAAGAAAGTTGTTGAACAGTAAAGCAATCAGATACACACATAGGACTTCAGAGTCCATATATCAGGTTCCTATCAGTGTTGGTGAGTTTGCTGGATTGAAAGTCCCTCTGGTACACATCCACAGCTTGGATGGGTCATTCCGTGCTTTGTTCAGAGCTTCAGTTTGTAGAGAAGTTGCTCCAGAGGTGAGAAGCAGGAATGAAGACAAAATGGAGACAGTGGCGGATTTAGAGTTAGTGGGGCCCTGTGCTTAGCTTCATTTTTGGGCCCCCTCCTTGGGAACCAGCCAAGAAAAAGAACATTCTCTCTCATCTCCTCCCCGCCCCCGTTTTCATTCTTTTTTTCTTCATCCTCCTCCTATAAGTAATAGCAAGTAAATGAAAATAAAGTGAGGTACCTTGATTGTTTTTGTAGTCTAACTTATTTTTCCACAGACCACTTGCAAATCGCGGAGGGTCTCGGCGGACACTTAATGATCTTTCCAAATATTGTGTGTACCATTAGCTAACCATTGTAAATTGCTTTGGATAAGAGCACTTTATTAAAAAAATGTAAAAAAACCTTGGGGTGCGGGGTCTGGACAGGACCTAGGGTGCGGGAGGGGGCTCAGGGCTGGGGGTGCAGGGTCTGGGAGGGAGTTAGGGTGCAGGAGCAGGCTGGAGGTTGGGGTGCAGGGTCTGGCCAGGAGTTAAGGTGCGGGAGGGGGCTCAGGGCAGGAGGTTGGGGTGTGGAGCGCTTACCTGGGGCAGCTCCCATTTGGTGCGAGGGGTGCAGGTGAGAATGTGGGGGGGTGCAGGAGTCAGGGCTTGGAGCTGGGGGTGTAAATTGGGGTTGTGGGGGTGCTCCCAGCCCCCTGCCCTGTGCAGCTCACAGCGGGGGGGGGGTATGTGTAGGGGGAGTGCAGGGGCCCCGCCTTTCATAGAATCATAGAATATCAGGGTTGGAAGGGACCTCAGGAGGTCATCTAGTCCAACCCCCTGCTCAAAGCAGGACCAATCCCCAACTAAATCATCCCAGCCAGGGCTTTGTCAAGCCGGGCCTTAAAAACCTCCAAGGAAGGAGATTCCACCACCTCCCTAGGTAACGCATTCCAGTGCTTCACCACCCTCCTAGTGAAATAGTGTTTCCTAATATCCAACCTAGACCTCCCCCACTGCAACTTGAGACCATTGCTCCTTGTTCTGTCATCTGGTACCACTGAGAACAGCCGAGCTCCATCCTCTTTGGAACCCCCTTTCAGGTAGTTGAAAGCAGCTATCAAATCCCCCCTCATTCTTCTCTTCTGGAGACTAAACAATCCCAGTTCCCTCAGCCTCTCCTCATAAGTCATGTGCTCCAGACCCCTAATCATTTTTGTTGCCCTCCGCTGGACTCTTTCCAATATTTTCACATCCTTCTTGTAGTGTGGGGCCCAAAACTGGACACAGTACTCCAGATGAGGCCTCACCAATGTCGAATAAAGGGGAACGATCACGTTCCTCGATCTGCTGGCAATGCCCCTACTTATAAAGCCCAAAATGCCATTAGCCTTCTTGGCAACAAGGGCACACTGTCGACTCATATCCAGCTTCTCGTCCACTGTGACCCCTAGGTCCTTTTCTGCAGAACTGCTACATAGCCATTCAGTCCCTAGTCTGTAGCAGTGCATAGGATTCTTCTGTCCTAAATGCAGGACTCTGCACTTGTCCTTGTTGAACCTCATCCGATTTCTTTTGGCCCAATCCTCTAATTTGTCTAGGTCCCTCTGTATCCTATCCCGATCCTCCAGCGTATCTACCACTCCTCCCAGTTTAGTGCCATCTGCTAACTTGCTGAGAGTGCAGTCGACACCATCCTCCAGATCATTAATAAAGATATTAAACAAAACTGGCCCCAGGACCGACCCTTGGGGCACTCCGCTTGAAACCGGCTGCCAACTAGACATGGAGCCATTGATCACTACCCGTTGAGCCCGGCGATCTAGCCAGCTTTCTATCCACCTTCTAGTCCATTCATCCAGCCCATACTTCTTTAACTTGGCGGCAAGAATACTGTGGGAGACCGTATCAAAAGCTTTGCTAAAGTCAAGGAATAACACATCCACTGCTTTCCCCTCATCCACAGAGCCAGTTATCTCATCATAGAAGGCAATTAAGTTAGTCAGGCACGACTTCCCCTTGGTGAATCCATGCTGACTGTTCCTGATCACTTTCCTCTCCTCTAAGTGTTTCAGAATTGATTCCTTGAGGACCTGCTCCATGATTTTTCCAGGGACTGAGGTGAGGCTGACTGGCCTGTAGTTCCCCGGATCCTCCTTCTTCCCTTTTTTAAAGATGGGCACTACATTAGCCTTTCTCCAGTCATCCGGGACCTCCCCCGATCGCCATGAGTTTTCAAAGATGATGGCCAATGGCTCCGCAATCACATCCGCCAACTCCTTTAGCACCCTCGGATGCAGCGCATCCGGCCCCATGGATTTGTGCTCATCCAGTTTTTCTAAATAGTCCTGAACCACTTCTTTCTCCACGGAGGGCTGGTCACCTCCTCCCCATACTGTGTTGCCCAGTGCAGCGGTCTGGGAGCTGACCTTGTTCGTGAAGACAGAGGCAAAAAAAGCATTGAGTACATTAGCTTTTTGCACATCCTCTGTCACTAGGTTGCCTCCCTCATTCAGTAAGGGGCCCACACTTTCCTTGACTTTCTTCTTGTTGCTAACATACCTGAAGAAATCCTTCTTGTTACTCTTAGCATCTCTTGCTAGCTGCAACTCCAAGTGTGATTTGGCCTTCCTGATTTCACTCCTGCATGCCTGAGTGATATTTTTATACTCCTCCCTGGTCATTTGTCCAATCTTCCACTTCTTGTAAGCTTCTTTTTTGCGTTTAAGGTCAGCAAGGATTTCACTGTTAAGCCAAGCTGGTCGCCTGTCATATTTACTATTCTTTCTACACATTGGGATGGTTTGTTCCTGTAACCGCAATAAGGATTCTTTAAAATACAGCCAGCTCTCCTGGACCCCTTTGCCCTTCATGTTATTCTCCCAGGGAATCCTGCCCATCAGTTCCCTGAGGGAGCCAAAGTCTGCTTTTCTGAAGTCCAGGGTCCGTATTCTGCTGCTCTCCTTTCTTCCTTGTGTCAGGATCCTGAACTCGACCATCTCATGGTCACTGCTTCCCAGGTTCCCATCCACTTTTGCTTCCCCTACTAATTCTTCCCTGTTTGTGAGCAGCAGGTCAAGAAAAGCTCTGCCCCTAGTTGGTTCCTCCAGCACTTGCACCAGGAAATTGTCCCCTACACTTTCCAAAAACTTCCTGGATTGTCTGTGCACCGCTGTATTGCTCTCCCAGCAGATATCAGGGTGATTAAAGTCTCCCATGAGAACTGACGGGTTGGATCACAGAAACCCCCTTGGGAGCTGCCACCTGATGTGCCAAGACTACCCCTGCTTCTGTTTTCCCTGCCAGCTCAGGACTCCAGCACCCTGTCTTGCTGAGCGAGACACTCCCGTCTGCTCCAACACAGACCCAGGGTCTGAATCACTTGTCCCAAAGTTGCAAGTTTACCCAAAAACAGCTCACAGGAGTGTGCTTGTCTTTAGCACTCAGATGCCCAACTCCCAATGGGGTCTAAACCCAGATAAATCCGTTTTACCCTGCATAAAGCTTATGCAGGGCAAACTCCTAAATTGTTCGCCCTCTATAACACTGACAGAGAGATATGCACAGCTGTTTGCCCCCCCAGGTATTAATACATACTCTGAGTAAATTACTAAATAAAAAGTGATTTTATTAAATACAGACAGTAGGATTTAAGTGGTTCCAAGTAGTAACAGACAGAACAAAGTAAGTCGCCAAGCAAAATAAAATAAAATGCGCAAATCTATGTCTAATCAAACTAAATACAGATAATCTCACCCTCAGAGATGCTTCAGTAAGTTTTTTCTCAGACTGGACACCTTCCAGGCCTGGGCACAATTCTTTCCCCTGGTACAGCTCTTGTTCCAGCTCAGGTGATAGCTAGGGGATTCTTCATGATGGCTTCTCTCCCCTTTGTTCTCTTCCACCCCTTTATATATCTTTTGCATAAGGCGGGAATCCTTTCTCCCTCTGGGTTTCCACCCCCCCTCACTGGAAAAGCACCAGGTTAAAGATGGATTCCAGTTCAGGTGACATGATCACATGTCACTGCAAGACTTCATTACTCACTTGCCAGCACACACATATACAGGCAGACTAACAGGTAAACAGCCATCTGCAGACAATCGGAGTCATCAAGATTCCAAACCATCATTAATGGCCCACACTTTACATAATTACAATAGGCCCTCAGAGTTACATTTTATATTTCTAGTTTTAGATACAAGAGTGGTACATTTATACAAATCAGATGATCATACTCAGTAGATTATGAGCTTTGTAATGATACCTTACAAGAGACCTTTTGCATGAAGCATATCCCAGTTACGTTACATTCACTTATTACCATATTTTCTCTAAAACTATCCCAGTTACATTATATTGACTTATTATCAAGTTTTTATAAAACCATATAGACTGCACAATGTCACACCCTCCTCCTGAACTTACTGCCAGAGACTTGGACACTGACCATGGCGGAGGCAGTATACCTAAAATTCATTTTTGGGCTCCCCTATGGGGCAGACACTCCTGTGTCCCCCAAAAGGGAAAGATACCCTGATCCAGCTGTAGGCTCACAGCTCCAAGCTATGAGAGACCTTTAGCTGGCCAGCAAAATCCGCCCCCCTTTCACTCAGGTTGGGTTTGCTTCCAGCTAGATGCTCTTCCCTCTCTTCGTTAGGTGGAGCCCGTCTCTGCCTAGCACTCCTCCTCCTTGGCACACCATCCCATGGTCGAAGAATCCAAAGCCTTCTCTCCGACACCACCTGCGTAGCCATTCGTTGACTTCCGCTCCGCTCTGCCCTGATTGCACCCCCTTCCCCAAGGCCTCCCCCCCCCCCGCCTCTTCCCCACTGTTCGGAGGCGGGGGCAGCCCTGAAAGGGAGAGAGGGAAGGGGTAGGGAAGAGGTGGGGGATGGGGGAGCTTGGCTGCTGGTGGGTGCGAGCGCAAGTTGCAGCAGGAGCCAGCAGGACCAAGCTTCTGCCCCCACAGCTGCCCAGCCCTGGGGGCCCCTGTCATTGGGGGGGCCCGTGCCAGGGCACCCTGTGTTTTATGGTAAATCCACCTCTGAATGGAGATGATGCAGCTGCCTTTTTATATCCTTTGCCATGTGGCTTGTACTTCCTGTGTCCCAGACACAAGCTCACAGCACATGGCAGGGAAAAGCCTTAGGGTTGTGTCCATAGGCAGCCCCGACATGTCCCGCTGACTCATACGGTGCAGTCCCTGGTTTTCAATGGGTTCATTGTACAGCTGATGTCCCTTGGTGGGCCATCTAGCAAGCTTAGTGCTGATGCCAATCTGTCTGGGGGCATCACCCAGAAACACAGCACAAGTTTTGATATATCAGATTTTGAAACCATACAAATCTATAACTCACAGTACAAAGGTGATACAAACATCTAAACAAGATGATCATCCTTCGCAAATCATAACATTGTCAACGACACCTTACACGGCATATCTTTCATGATTTATTGCAATTTTATAATATTGGTATTATTAATAACATAAAGTGTCTCACAATTCCATACAGCGTCACAAGGGGATTTACACCAGATTAACTAGCTCCATTTACAAATCAGTATAAACGGGTGCAGACCAGGTCTCACACACATGTGAGTGCTCGACCCACTGGGGGGCCTTCATCTCTTGTTTGTTACTGGTACCGGCCCCTGGCAAGTGGCTCACGCGCTGTGTCTCTCCCCAGTACCTCCCACGGTCTCAGTTTCCCGCAGAGATGCCCCAGACAGCTCCATCACCCTCTCCTGCCACGCCAGGGGCTTTTACCCGCGTCCCATCCATGTCTCCTGGGTGCGGGACGGAGAAGACATCCTGGCGGAGACAGACTCCAGCGGGATCCTGCCCAACGACATTCACTCGTACTACACGCAGTCATCCCTGGAGATCTCCCCGCAGCAGGAGGACGGGCACCGCTACGCCTGCCGGGTGGAGCACAGCAGCCTGGAGGAGCCTGTGCTCGTCTGGGGTAAGGGGGGGTGAATGGCAGGACCCAGGGGTTGGGGGCACAGCCCCATGGGAATGACAGAGATGGGGTGAGGCTGGGCCGCAGGAAAGTCAATATACCTGCCCATTGTCAGAGCGAATTCGTCTAGCTCTGGGTATTCGTGTGACCCACAAAAATGGCCGATCCCTCAGCAAATCTCATTAAGTTTCTGGCTGTGGTGCCATCCAGTGACAGTGAGTTCCACAGGCTGATGTCGTTACGAGGGAAGGGCCTGGTTGCTGTGTGGCGTGTGTGTCTGGCAGTTCCCGGCAGAGCACCCCCCCTCTGTGCCCCATCCCCGTCCCCGTCCTGGCTCAGCCTTTCCCCTCCCCTGGGGCCAGGTCTCTGCAGACGCCCTCAGGGAGACGTTCAAGGCAAAGGCCTGTGGCTGCCCCAGGAGGATGCCCCAGCGGCGGCTCCCCTCGGTGACCTGGGCCCTTCTCCATCCCACAGCCCCTGGGAAGAAGGGCCCCCTGCCCCCCGGGGTCCTGGCCGCCATCGTCCTGGCCGTGCTGGTTCTGGCTGGAGCCGTAGGGGCCGGCGTCATCCTGTGGAGGAGAAAATCAGCAGGTAAGAGCCGGTCCCATGGAGCCGGGGTCTGGGGAGTGGGGCGGCCCAGCCAGCCCAAGGGGGAATGGCTCCTCCCACTGCCCCCAAGGAGAGATGGGGCAGGGCCATGGGGCAGGGCTGATCACCGTAGCCCAGCCCTGCTGGGGGCAGAGTGGGCTCTGTCGTTGGCTGGACGCCTTGTGCCTGGCTAGGGGGGGCACTGGGGTGGGGCTGGCCTGGGCGAGGTGTAGTTGGGGTCACGGGGAGCCCTGTGTCAGAGGGGACAGGGGGTTGGGGTCACCGTGGGGGAGGGGTTACCCTGCTCCCCTGCACTGACCCTCATTCTCTGCTTGTGTTTCAGGCCCCATGAAACCCGGCTACACTCCAGCAGCCAGTGAGTAAATCAAGGGTATAGGCCCAGCGCCCCAGTGCATTATGGGTGTGTGTTGGGGGGGGTCCCCATGAGGGGAGAAGGGATGCGGGCACTGATGGGGCTGGGCTGCATGAGTCACTGGGTCACTCCAACAGCCCGTTGCAGGCCAGACCAGCCGTCCGGGAGCTTCCGAGTGTGAGGGAAAAGCCGGAGTCCGGTGGTGTCTGTCGGGGGCGGGTACGACCGGGGTCACACACTGCATTTGGGGTTTGAACCTGGGTCCATTCCCAGCCCATGGCAGGTTGTGCCATAGAGAGGAGTTAGTGTGGGGGGACCCCAGAGCTGAATTCCCTTCCCCCTTCCCTAGCTGGGATCCCCACAACTAACGCCGCTGCCTCTGAATGATTTTCTTCTCTCTCCACAGCAAAGAGCGGGGAAGATTCTGCCTCCAGCTCGTCATCGGGAACAGACCCCCAGTGCTAGGGGCAGTGACCATGCCCAGCTGCTGACCCCGCTGGCCAGGCGATCTCTGTCCTCTGACTCCCCCCTGCCCCAGGGGAGATTCCCACTTGGTCGTTAGAGCAGTTTCCTCCTGGGGGTGTTGGGCCTCAGGCTCTCGTATTGCAGCGTTTGCGTCTCTGCTTCTGCAGCCGGGACTTTGCCTCAACTTCTCCCCAAAGGGCCGACTCACTCCAGTCTCCCTGTTAGGATATAGATATTCAGGCCTGTCTGCAAAGGCCGATACTTTAAGAATTTAGGTGTATTCTTATCACTTAGCTAGTTATAGAGGTATAAAAGAAAGAATCAAAATCACTGTCTGTCTGTGTAAGGGCCTTTTCTCACTGTCACATTGTAACGCCCTGTTCTTAGGCTAGGACCTTTGGGCTAAGCAGCAGAGGCAGCCATAAGCCGGGAAGTGAACGGTCACATCCTCACATTCCAAACTAGTCACATTGAAATCAGGTGCTATTGGGCTGTTAGGAACACAATCCTGTCCTGATATTCCTGTCACCTCCAGAGAAAGGGAAGAGCCTAGAAGATGTAAAAGGAAACTTAGTTGGCTAGCATCCTGTCTGGCAAGAACTCACTTCTCAATAGCTGGGGTGTGAAATCCTCATTTCTTTGTTGTTCTATCACTGTAGTCTCCACTTCCCTATTGTTAGTCTGTATAATCTCTGTCTGTTTTTGTCTGCTGTATAATTAATTTTGTTGGGTGTAAACCAATTAAGGTGGTGGGATATAATTGGTTAGATAACCATGTTACAATATGTTAGGATTGGTTGGTTAAATTTCAGTAAAATGATTGGTTAAGGTATAGCTAAGCAGAACTCAAGTTTTACTATATAGTCTGCAGTCAATCAGGAAGTAGGGGGGGAATGGGAACAGGGACTGGGAGTGGGGGAATTGGGATCATGTTTTGCTAAGGGGGGGAATGGGAACAGGACAGGGACACAGGCAAGGCTCTGTGGTGTCAGAGCTGGGAAGAGGGACACTGAGGAAGGAAACTGGAATCATGCTTGCTGGAAGTTCACCCCAATAAACATCGAATTGTTTGCACCTTCGGACTTCGGGTATTGTTGCTCTCTGTTCATGTGAGAAGGACCAGGGAAGTGAGACGGTGAAGGAACAAGCCCCCTAACACTCCTGTCTCTGCGGGGGCCGCTCTGCCTGCATCAGGGATGGGCAGTTCCCCTTGTCCAGCAGCAGGAACCAGCACAGAGCCTGACGAGCAGGCAAAGACAGGGGCGGGGGAGCCCCGCAGAGGGGAATTATGGGCTACCCCACCCCCATCTGAGAGGCAAATGGGCCCTGCTTGGAAAAATTGAATCCCAAAATGGTGATTTTTTCAGAAGGAAAAGACTCTGTGCTCTGGTTGAGCTCAGGTCCGAGTTTTGCCCTGAATGTTGTGTGTCAACAACCCCCGCCCCCCAATTCTGCACAAAGCTGAGCTGCTGAGTCTTGGAATCTCAGCACGTGTGTAATCGAAGCCTGAGCTCGTAAGCTGGAAAAGTACGCCCCCCTGGCCGACACCCTGAGAGCGAAGGGCTACGAGGTGCAGATGGACGCCCTGATTGTCGGAGCCCTGGGACCCCTGCAATGAGCGCGTGCTGCGGACCTGCGGGATTGGTCAACGCTATGCACGGCTCATGCGGCGCCTCATGGTCTCAGACACCATCTGACGGTCCAGGGACATCTACATCGAGCACATCACCGGCCACCGACAGTACCAGGAGGCGTGAGCCAGAGCGACATCGTTCTCCCACTATGAGAAAGGGACCAAGTGACCTTCGCCGTTGGATCATATGAACTGGAACCATAAACTCCCTGAACATTAAATCTCACCAAATGAGGGTCAATCCATCTCAGCATCATATCCACTCATTATACTCCACACCCAAACATAGCCACTCTATGAACTTCATACCCTCATATCTCAATGTCTGCACTTTGACCCATCAATCTTTTACCCCCAATCGGGGATATTGCAGATTATGTATTCCTTATGCCACCCGATCTTAAACCAAACTTCGCACCCCTTGATAATCTGCATGTTATTCCCTGATAACCAGAAACTTCTATGCTTAAACTCTGTAGTGTTTTTTGCAGAACTGGGGTTTTATCCTTTTCAGTTCCAACTTCTTGCTGGCTTTGCATTTTTTAAAATCAGTTAAAATAAGGCCAGAACTTTTGCAGGCTGGGTCAAATCTTGTCTGGGGCTGACCCAGCACCTCCATGATCTCAGATAGCTACAGACTTGGGGACTGCATATATTTTTGGATTCGAGGGCTTTCTGAGCCCAAAATTACGGGAATTAGGAGGTGGAAGCCAAACTTGAACAGCTAAACGGGACTAAATCGGGCGGACCGGATGATCTTCATCCGAGAATATTGAAGGAACTGGCGCCAGAAATTGCAAGCCCCTTAGCGATAATTTTTAATGAATCTGTTAACTCGGGGGTGGTACCGTTGGACTGGAAAATAGCTAATGTGGTTCCTATTTTCAAGAAAGGGAAAAAAAGTGACCCGGGTAACTACAGGCCTGTTAGTTTAACATCTGTAATATGCAAGGTCTTGGAAAAAATTTTGAAGGAGAAAGTAGTTAAGGACCTTGAGGTGAATGGCAATTGGGACAAATTACAACATGGGTTTACGAAAGGCAGATTGTGCCAAACCAACCTGATCTCCTTCTTTGAGAAAGTAACAGACCTTCTAGATAAAGGAAATGCGGTGGATCTAATATACCTCGATTTTAGTAAAGCGTTTGATACGGTACCGCATGAGGAATTATTGGTTAAATTGGAAAAGATGGGGATAGATATGAAAATCCAGAGGTGGATAAAGAACTGGTTAAAGGGTAGACTGCAGCGGGTAGTACTGAAAGGTGAACTGTCAGATTGGAGGGAGGTCACCAGTGGGGTTCCTCAAGGATCAGTTTTGGGTCCGATTTTATTTAATCTATTTATTACTGACCTCGGAACCGAATGTAGGAGTGGGCTGATAAAGTTTGCGGATGACACAAAGTTGGGAGGTATTGCCAATTCGGAGAAGGATCGGGATATCCTGCAGGGAGACTTGGATGACCTTGTAAATTGGAGTAATAGTAATAGGATGAAATTTAATAGTGAGAAGTGTAAGGTGATGCATTTAGGGATGACTAACAAGAATTTTAGTTATAAGCTGGGGACGCATCGGTTGGAAGTGACGGAGGAGGAGAAGGACCTCGGAGTCCTGGTTGACCGCAGGATGACTATGAGTCGGCAATGTGACGTGGCTGTGAAAAAAGCTAACGCGATCTTGGGATGCATAAGGCGAGGTATTTCTAGTAGGGGCAAGGAGGTGCTGCTTCCGTTATACAAGGCGCTGGTGAGACCTCATTTGGAGTACTGTGTGCAGTTCTGGTCTCCCATGTTTAAAAAGGATGAACTCAAACTGGAACAGGTACAGAGAAGGGCCACTAGGATGATCCGAGGAATGGAAAACCTTTCCTATGAAAGGAGACTCGAGGAGCTTGGTTTGTTTACCCTAACCAAAAGAAGGCTGAGGGGGGATATGATTGCTCTCTTTAAATATATCAAAGGGATAAATACCAGGGCGGGAGAGGAATTATTTCAGCTCAGTACTAATGTGGACACGAGAACAAATGGATATAAACTGGCCGTGGGGAAGTTTAGGCTTGAAATTAGACGAAGGTTTCTAACCGTCAGAGGGGTGAAATTTTGGAACAGCCTTCCAAGGGAAACAGTGGGGGCAAAAGACCTCTCTGGCTTCAAGATTAGGCTAGATAAGTTTATGGAGGGAATGGTTTGAGGGGATAACGTGATTTTAGTCAATTAGGCAATAACGTGCCATCGCTGGTAAAATGTGGGTCCGGCTGGAGAATCTTGCCTGTATGCTCGGGGTTCTACTGATTGCCATATTTGGGGTCGGGAAGGGTAGATTGGCAGTGGCCCTGGAGGTTTTTCGCCTTCCTCCGCAGCATGGGGCAGGGGTCGCAAGCTGGAGGATTCTCTGCGACTTGAAGTCTTCAAATCACGATCTGGAGACTTCAACAGCAGAGTTAAGGGAAAGTGGGGGGGTCAGCTTTTGTGGCCTGCATCATGCGGGAGGTCAGACTAGATGACCATAATGGTCCCTTCTGACCTTAAAGTCTATGAGTCTATGAGTCTTTTATTTGCATAAAGGGATCCTAATCAGACCCCATTGGGTGATGCCAGTGACCTCAGAAAGAGAGTGCCCCGTTCTGAACCTGAGGTTTGGCCGTCACTTCTCAGGCCAGCCTGGCCTGCACTGGCTGCTGGCCTGTGGCCGTACCATGTCGCCACCCCTGACACCGTGCCCTGTGCCTCATTCACCCCCAGCTGGCCACCGAGGGGTGATATCCAGCAACGTGGGGTGTCGAAGATCTGACACCTACAAGCGAGTCACCACTAGCTGGCCTGCAAAGCCATTGACCTTCACACACGTGAGCTGACAAGGCCTCCGGCTAATCACACCCCAGCCGGCTGAATGGACCCCCAAGAGTCACGCTGAAACACCCTGCAAAAGCGTCCGCCTCCCTGGGTGTTTTCTAGTTCTCATTAGTAGGCGCAGACGCCTCTGGCTCAGCGTTCTGGCCTCTGTGTGTGTGAGAGAGACCCACAGAATCTATATGAGCACAGCGCCTATAGAATAGCTGCTCAGATTCTTACACCAGCCCTAGGTCACACAGCCTCGCTACTGGAAAGATCACACCTGCAGGGATGTCGGGGGTTAGCACCTGTACATTTAACCCTGAGAAATCCTGTTTTCTCTTCTGTGATAAATGAAGGAGGGTTGGGACCTCCTTTTTCTGGACACCCAGCCAGACAGTTAGCTATAAACTCCCTCTTAGTAGCTGTTCTCTACTTGCTTTACCTGTAAAGGGTTAAAAAGTCCATAGGTAAAAGGAAGGGAGTGGGCACCTGACCAAAAGAGCCCATGGGAAGGCTTTCCCTTTGTCTCTCTGTTGTTCTCTCTGGGCTGAAGAGAGGGGGCAGCTGGAATGCTGTGTAAAGTCTGGACCGGGTATGAAAATTCATCGTCCATACCTAGAAGGATTCATGGGGACAGGGAATGTTTAGATAGATGCAATTGGGTTTATTTCTTTTATTTTCTGTAAGGCTTGTGGATTCCTCTGTGCTAACCCCAGATGCTTTTGTTTGTTGTAACCTTTAAGCTGAACCCCCAAGAAAGCTAGTTTGGGTGCTTAATTTTTGGAATTGCTCTTTTAAAATCTAGCAAAAGCCTAAGTTCCAGGTGTATTTTCTTTCTTTTTGTTTTTAATAAAATTTACCTTTTTTAAGAACCTGATTGGTTTTGTGTCTTAAATGGTCTGTGCACATGTTTTTCAATTAGCTGGTGGCAACAGCTGGGTTTCCCTTTTGTTTGTTTGTTTTCTTTCTTGGTTTAACCGACGGAGGGGTGGAAAAGCTGAGGGGCCCCAGGGAAAACTTCCCAAGTGAGTTTTTCCAGGATTTGCAAGAAGAGTTTTGCATTTGGGTGGTGGCAGCATTTACCAAGCCAAGGTCAGGGAAAAGCTGTAACCTTGAGGGTTTAATACAAGCCTGGAGTGGCCAGTATTAATTTTTTTAAATCCTTGCGGGACCCCACCTTCTGCACTCGAAGTGCCAGAGTGGGGAAACAGCCCTGACAACTACGTTCATCGTATGAGCGTTCAGTGTAACCGGCCTGTCAGGGTTCCCTCCCCACTCTGAACTCTGGGGTACAGATGTGGGGACTCGCATGAAAGACCCCCTAAGCTTATATTCTACCAGCTTAGGTTAAAAACTTCCCCAAGGCACAAATTCCTTTCCTTGTCCTTGGACGGTATCGCTGCCACCACCAAGTGATTTAGACAAAAAATCCAGGAAAAAGGGCCACTTGGAGTCCATGTTTCCCCAAAATATTCCCCCAAGCCCCTTCACTCTCTTTCCTGGGGAGGCTTGAGAATAATATACTAACCAATTGGCTACAAAGTGAGCACAGACCAAACCCCTGGGTTTTTACTGAAAATCAGTCAGGTTCTTAAAAGAAGAATTTTATTAAAAAAAAAAAGTAAGAGCATCACACCAGGGTAAATAAAAAGATTTAAAACACAGAGGATTCTCCTCTAGGCTCAACTTCCAAGTTACAAAAAACAGGAATAAAACTCCCTCTAGCATAGGGAAAATTCACAAGCTAAAACAAAATATAATCTAACGCATTCCCTTGCCTTTACTTACAATTTCTGTAATTTTAGATGTATCATTTCAGGTATCTTTTCAGAAGCTGGTTTACCTGCTTGGTCTTTCTCTCTGTCCCGAGAGAGAAGAAACAAACCCCCCCCCCCCCCCCGATTTTAAAGTATCTTATTTTTTCTTATTGGTCCTTTTGGTCAGGTGCCAACCGGATTATTTGAGTTTCTTAACCCTTTACAGGTAAAGGAGGGATTTTTATGCTACCCTTAGCTGTATGTTTATGACACGGCTGTATTGGAATGTGACTCTGTGTGACATGGGGAAGAGATCGGCTGTTACCGAATCGGCCATAATTCGGGCAGGCGGCCGTAATGGCACCGACAGCTCTGCTGACAATGTTCACGTCACCAGGGAGCGATCGGACCCTCCCTCTGTCAGCTCTTGGGCTGGAACCGAAACTTCCGGCTTGGCCTTGGGGATGCGCTGTGCCTGCGGTGCTGCTAGCGACCCAGATCCGCCGCCTTCCCGGAGTGCTACGTAGCCCTTAGCAGGGGTTGTGAATGTGTGTGGGATGGTTCAGTGACCTGCCTGAGCACAGTAAGTAACTTACTGAATGATTTCATGTGCTTCCATCTTTGGCTATGTGTTTTGTTAGATATTTTTGCTCGATTATTGAGCTCATAAAATACAGACCATGGAACCGTGGTTGGCTCGGCTGTTTGCTCCCCAGACGTCAGGGCTCCGGAGGAGACTCTGAGCCCCACCGAGGGCTGGTCCCTAGAACTGCCCCAGCATCCCCCAGTGACGGGCACCAGACCTGGCAGCTGCCGGCTGTCGAGGGAAAGTTGACCCTTGCGATGATCATTTATTTCCCTCAGCAACGTGGATCCAGAGCGTTGGGGGCCCGGGGTGGTGGATACCAGTCGGTCAAGCCAAAGACCGACCAGTCCCCCCTGAATCAGTCTGTGCCCCTCACACCACCACCCCCTTGGTTAGTCACTGGCCTGTGCCCTGAGGCTAGGAGATTTATCTCTGTTATATCTTTGAATCCCAGTGTACAGCTCGTTGTTCTGAGTATGCCTGTGGTGTTCCAGGGGTTAGGGTGCTAGTCTGGGAAACCTGCCTCTGCCACACACTTCCTGGGTGACCGGCGTCTCTCTGAGCCTCAGTTTCCCCATCAGGATAATAGCCTTCTGCTGGGGATGAGTAGGGGGCTGGGGAGGGGCTGAGGCCCAGGAGCCAGCTGTACCGGGTCCCCGGCTCTGGCAATGGAGGGATGGTTTGTGCCCCCCCAGCTCCTATGGGGGCTGCTCCAGCCTCGCCCCTCGGAGGGTCCGAAACCTCCTTCTCCTTCCCAGCCAGGATTCGCTCCTGGCCCCTTTACCCCCTTTGTGCCCGTGCCCCATGGTACCTGCGCCCGGTGTCCTGCCCCAGAGCGGTTCAGCCCCCGCCCTACCCCGCCCCGCCCGCAGCGCTGCCCCGGCCCTTCGCACCCCCCTGGCACGGGGCAGGCTGGGGGAGCCCCATGGGCCCGCAGCCATGGGATGTTTGTGTGCAGTAACTTCACACAGCCCGGTCTGCCCGGATACCGATGACGAACCGCCTCGGCCTGCGTCCTGATTGGACGGTCACAGGCAGCTGCGACACTTCGGAAAGTGAAAGTGCTAGTGAGTTGTAGTGCTAGTTAGTGCTAGTGACACAGCAGGTGTGTGCCAGGCTGCCCGGCTCTCCTGTCCCCCGTGTGCGGGGTGACCCCACGTCCGGATATTCGGGGCTTTGTCTTATACAGGCGCCTATTGCCCCCCCGCCCAGGGCCCATGGCCTGGGGGCTGCTCCTGGCACTCTGCGGGGGGCTCCTGGCTCCAGCCGCGGCGGGCGGTGAGTACGGGGGGGGTTGGGGGGGCAGGGTGACCCCAGCGGGGGGTGTCACCGTAACAGGCCGGGCAGCTCCCTCTGATACGGGGGGGGGGCAAACTGGGGGCGCAAGAGATTCTTGGGGGGGACATGAGCAAACTGGGATCCCGGGGGTCCCGCAGGACCCGCTGCCATGGTAGCAACGCAGGATAAAAACAGAGCGGGAATTGGGGGCGGGATTAAATAACTAGTCCTCCCGCACTGCCGCCGCTGCTGCCACGAATACCCCGGCCAGCAGCCGCCGCTCTCCGGCCGCCCAGCTCTGAAGGCAGCGACGCCGCCAGCAGCAGCACCGACAGACGGATTAATGCCGATTATCTGTAATGGGGGGGGGGGGGCGACACGTTCCGTGCATGATGGGGGGGGGGCGCGACCAGGGCCAGTGCAAGGATATTTTGCGCCCTAGGCGAAACTTCCACCTTGCGCCCCCCTCCTCCCCTCCCCTCCCCTCCCCTCGACAACCTCCAAAAACTAGTTAACTGAGCATTATAAACAGCTTGTCAGAATGGGTAACGGCTGTTGTAATGTTTCTTTTTCACCTTTAAGGCGTTTCAATTGTTTGCCATTGCCTCTGATGGTGTCCCAGTCAAAGTCTTACTATTGTGCAAAGCTAAACAATTGAGCCAGGTTAGGCAGGTGACCAATCATTATCCCCTGGTGACTCATTTCGACTCCAGGTCTATAAAGCACTTTTAAGGTAAATACATTATTCCTTCAGTATTACCCATGCACACATCTCACAAAGAGTCTCACTCTTGACAAGTTACCAGCCTTGTGTAGATCCCTTCCACATTCCTCTCTGTGGGTCAGTGCCCTGTAAGACACATATGGGGTGCAGTGAGTTTGTCAGGCCTGCGGTGACAGCTGTTTGTGAAGATATGGGGGCCCTTTGCCAAGGGGTGCTGATGTAACAGTGAGATTGGCGTGGCTGACAGTATGGGGCAGGGCGCTGAGGCTGGTGGGGCAGGTAACACTCACTGGGCTGGGGGGCAGGTGGTGCCGGGATGGGGCAGGGGCAGGTACCTGTCAGTCTCCAGTGCTCCGGCCGCGCCAGCAGCCTCTTCACCTCGGAGTCTCCCCTGCTTGCCCGGGGGCCGCTCCTCCTCTCAGGCTCCCCGGCCGCTGCCACCGCGGCCGCCCAGGAGGACGCAGGCAGGGGCCGCCACCGCGGAGGAGACGCAAGGGGCCGGGCTTGGCTGGGCCCTGCACCTGCCGGCCAAGAGCAGCAGGAACCGGGCGCCGCTCGGGGGGAGCCGGGCGGCCCGAGCCCAGGGCGGCAGCAGCCTCCGCAGCAGCAGGGGCAGGCGGGGAGCGTAGCCGCCATGGGGCAGGAGAGGCTGCGCTGCTGCTGCTGTTTCCCACCTACAGCCGTCCTTCTCCTGCGCCGCGCGGCAGGGCCGGGAACCAGCAGCAGCAGAGCGGCCGGGGAGCCCGAGAGGAGGAGTGGCCCCGGGCAAGCAGGGGAGACTCCGAGGTGAAGAGGCTGCTGGTTTGGCCCGAGCACTGGAGACTGACAGGTACCTGCCCCTGTGCCCTAGGCGGCCGCCTAGTTCACCTAGTGGTTACACCGGCCCTGGGCACGACTGGAGCAGTTTACACACCACGGCTTGATCGGCTGTAACCAGGGTGGGGCGAAGGGGGCAGCCGCCCAGGGAGCAAAGCTGCAGGGGTGGAAAACGGGGTGGAAATATGATGAAAAAACCGGGTAGGGGTAACAAAGATGCTTGCTGGCCCCAGGCACTAGAACAGCTAGTTACCAGCTGGGCGGGGGGGTGGCGGGGGGGCACCCCTGGGGCGGCCATACAGCAGCGCAGAGGGGGCGTGAGCTCCTTGGGTTGTTCTGCGTTTGTACAGCACCCGCGCAGCTGGGTCCTGGGCCAGGATGGAGGCTCCTAGGCGCTGCCCTAGTCCAGATCATGAATGGTCCCTTCTGGCCTTGAAATCTACAACTGTCCAGCCCCTCGGCTCCGTCTCCTCCATGGGCCTGAGCCGCATCCCCCCATCCTCCTTTGGGGGCTCTGCCAGAAATCCCCACACGCCAGCCCAAGAGCCGCCCCCCACCCCTAGGGGTGATGTCAAACCAGGGTGAGTGAGCGCAGGGAGAGGAGCCGGCTCGTGCTACGGGAGCAGAGGGGGACCGGCCCAGTGACCCTCGCGGGCAGTGGTGTCGTGGTAAATATAGCAGTGGGTCACCTCACCTCAGCAAAACACCGTGTCACCAATGAGAAGCGGGTGAGCTCCGGTTACCCCTGGTACCCCGGCTCCGGCACTGCTGTGCAGTAACCCGGCTGGCTGCGCCAGGCTCAGCTGAGGTGGAAACAAAAGAAAGTTACTTATGTTTCCAGGAGCAAAGGAGCAGAATCTCTGGGAGCTGCTCCCCTGCACAGCGAGAGACATGTGATTGTCTCCTGCCTCTGGCACAAAAAGAGGGGGGCAGCTTGGCTGGCCCCCTGAGAGCCCCATATCCCTGCAGGACTGGCCTATTTAGTTCCTGGGAAGGGCCGTGGGCGCATGCGTACACCCAGCCCCCACAAGGCTAGGGGGACCATATCCCGGGACAGTCCCTTTGTAAGCCCTGTCCCGGCAGTCATGACTTTTTTGGCAAAAGTGGGCGTTTGTCCTGTTTGCTCTTGCCAACTTGAACAAAAAGGGGGGGGGGGGGGGACCATGCGGGGGGGGGCGAGTAGCGATGCCAGCCCCGCGCGGAGGGGGAGTCAGGGCTCGGGTGGGGAGCAGGCAGGGCTCCGGCGATGCAGCCCCAGCCCGTTTTCCACACCGTGTCCCGTTTTCCCTGTGGGAAATATGGTCACCCTACCCTGGGCCCTTTGTTTTCAGATGTTATTTCGTTTACATTTTCCTTGAAATTGATCAGTGTTTATTACAAACATTTAAAAAGTGGGTGAAAACCAGCACCAGATATTAACTGCCCAGTTTTCTGGGTCAATATTGAGGTTCGTACTGGGGGAGGGGAGGACAGGAAAAAAGCAACAAGAGGGAAAAGTCTGAGTATTGAAAGTGAAAGGAGTTTAATGCTGCTGTTTATTTCATGATCTGCACAGTAAGGATGTGTACCCACGTGTGTGTGCGTTTGTAGCTTCCTCGCCATTGACTATGTTAACAGGCAGCCTCGCGCTGACACTTAGACTAATTTATTATTAGCACAAACGCATCACCCGGCTGTCACGGCACAGGTTGGATTTTCATACCATAGTCAACTAGGGTGACCAGACGTCCCGATATTGAGCAGTTTGTCCCGCGTCGGTCGGGATGCCGTTTGTCCTGATATTTTGTTTCGGGCGCAGCGGCCCATTTTTATTTGATTTTTATTTTTTTTGTTAAAGCAGCGGTGAGAGACGGGGAGCACCTTTTCAATTGCTACACTCTCCCGGCATATCCGTGTCTTCGGCGGCATTTCGGCGGCAGGTCCTTCTTTCTTTGGTGGCAAGATTTATTACCCGCCGCCGAAATGCCACCGAAGACCATCAGTGACTGAAGGACCCGCCGCCGGAGTGCCGCCGAAGACCCGGACGCGGTGAGTGTAACAATTGAAAAGGCGCTCCCCCTGCGGTGGTCCCGATATTTTGAAGTTATCATCTGGTCACCCTATAGTCAACATTTCTGTGTACCCCAGTGAGCCAAAATTGGGGTGAAAAATCAGTAAACACCAAATAACGGCTTCTGGAAAGCCCGGGAATCTTTCAGTAAAAATCAGTAAAAACTGACAATGAAGGGCCTTGCACACACATGCCCCCCCACTCACGTACACAGAAGCAGACATCACACACAAACGCCCCACATAGACACCGCAGACAGGCACACAGGCCACAAACAGCCCAGGTTCTGCTGTAGGCAGTTTACCCATCCACCCTTCCCACCCTCGGGGCATTTGCCCATGAGGGAGAGTCCTTCAGGGCTCAGTTAACCCTCCTACATCCCACCAGTGTCTGACCCCCCTAAACAAGCCGTGAGCTTTCAGAGGCGTGGGCTGAGAGATCGTCCTTCCTGATTCCCCCTCGGCTCCGCGCAGTGTGAATCACTGACAGATCCCAGCTTGTCCCTCGCCAGGATGGGGCTGAGGGCAGGGGGACGTGGCTGGGGCTGGGAAGTTTCTGCTGGTCCCCACTGGGTGACCCTGGTGTCCCCTGGGCAAAGGAAGAAGTCTGTGGTTAACTCAACCTCGCTCCTGTTGCTTTAGGGCGCCACAGCCTGGCCGTGCTGGTCACAGCCGTCACCCAGGAAGAGGGGACCCATCACTACTTCATGATCTCCAAGCTGGATGACGTTCAGATCGCGTACTACAGCAGCGACACGCGAGAGGTCCGACCCACCCAGACGTGGGCAGAGCAGGCTGTGGGCGCTGAATATCTCAAGGAAAAGACCCAGGAGTTCTTGAGGCACGAGAAGGGCTCAAAAGTTGAGACCAGTTGGTGGATGCAGCTGCACAACCAGACGGGCGGTGAGTGTCTGAGTTATCGTTATTAATGGACACGGGAGAGCTGCCCGCTCAGAATCACTCCCACTGGGGATCATAACAACATAAGAACGGCCACACTGGGTCAGACCAAAGGTCCATCCAGCCCAGTATCCTGTCTACCGACAGTGGCCAATGCCAGGTGCCCCAGAGGGAGTGAACCTAACAGGGAATCATCAAGTGATCCATCCCCTGTCGCCCATTCCCAGCTTACTTCCTTTTCTTTGTTTTAAACCTGCTGCCTATTATTTTCATTTGGTGACCCCTTATTTACTTTCTTCACACCAGTCATGACTTTATAGACCTCTATCATATCCCCCCTTAATCGTCTCTTTACCAAGCTGAAAAGTCTCAGGCTAGGTCTACACTACAGCGGGGGGGTCGACCTAAGATACACAACTTCAGCTACGTGAATAGCGTAGCTGAAGTTGCGTATTTTAGGTCGACTTACCTGGCTGTGAGGACGGGGGAAAGTCGACCGCTGCCGCGCCGCCAACTCCGCTACCGCCTCTTGCCGCGGTGGATTTCCGGAGTCGACGGCAGAGCGATCAGGGATCGATTTTATCGCGTCTTCACTAGACGCGATAAGTCGATCCCCAATAGATCGATTGCTACCCGCCGATCCGGCGGGTAGTGAAGACATGCCCTCAGTGTTATTAATCTCTCTTCATATGGAAGCTGCTTCATACCCTTAATCATTTGTGTTGCCCTTTTCTGAACCTCTCCTAATTCCAATAGATCATTTTTGAGATTGGGGCTGCCTTGTGCTAGGTGCTGCCCAAACCAGAGCTGGCTGGAAAATGGAGTTTTCTTCCCACAGAAAATTTCACATTCCCGGAAGTGTTTTCATTCCCGATCGGAAGGGAAGTCGGAAATGGGAGGTTTCCACAGGAAGGAAATTTTTCAGAAATTCCATCTCAGAAGAATCCCAGGCAGGGAGCCGGGCAGCCCCAGGATCTTCCCTTTCAATTTCCCCAACAGAAAATCAATGCTTTCTGGCCAAATTGAAATTTTCTCACAAAAATAACAATTCTGTGGAAACAGCCTTTCCCAAGGCTACTAGAATGTCGGGAGTCATTAGGAAAGGGGTAGAAAATAAGACAGAAAATATCATAAAGCCTCTATATAATTCCATGGTGTGCCCACACCTTGACTACTGCGTGCAGGTCTGGTCGCCCCATCTCCAAAAGGGAACTGGAACTGGAAAAGGTTCGGAAAAGGCCAACAAAGATGATCATGGGTATGGAACAGCTTCCATTTGAGGAGAGACTAGAAAGATTAGGGGCGTTGAGCTTAGAAAAGAGATGACTAAGGGGGGATATGATAGAGGTCTATAAAATCGTGACTGGTGTGGAGAAAGTAAATAGAAAAGAGTTCTTTATCCTTTCCCCCAATAAAAAACCAGGGGTCGTCTGATGAAATTAATAGGCAGGAGGTCTAATACAAACATGAGAAAGTATTTCTTCACACAATACACAGTTACCCTGTGGAACTCATTGCCGGGGGATGTTGTGAAGACCAAAAGTATAACTGGGTTCAAAAAAGAACTAGACAAGTTCCTGGAGGGTAGGTTCATCAATGGCTATTAGCCAGGATGATCAGGGACACAACCCCATGCCTGGGGCAACCCTAAACCTCCAACTGCCAGAAGCCAGGAGGGGAAGACAGCGGTGGATCACTCCAGAATTGCCCTGTTCTGTGCAATCTCCCTAATCTCTGGTATTGGCCACTGTCAGACCTTGGTCTCACCCCGTATGGCAACTCTCATGTTCACCGCTGGAGAGACGCCAGGAGCTCAGTAACTGTCTGGCAGGATCCCAACCCCTCAGTCCTTCCCGTGGGTCTGCTCTGACCCCTCCTGCTCCTCGGCGTCCTCTGGGATTGTTCCCTAGCTCAGCATGAGGCCGCCACACAGTCAGAGATGCTAAACTGCCGTCCGGCTGAGTGTCCTCTGACCCCACCCACCTACAGACACATTTCCCAGCTCTCAGTGCAGGGTCTGAGCTCTCTCTCCGTCCCCTCCAGGGGTTCACACTGAGCAGGTTCAGGTGGGCTGTGCCCTGAGCAGCCAGGCCCCCCGCGACCTGAGGTACCAGTACGCCTACGACGGGAGGGACTTCATCAGCTTCGATGCCCAGACGGGGACGTGGGTCGCGGCCGTGCAGCCGGCCTTTGCCCCGAAGCAGCGCTGGGAGACCGGCAAGAGCTACACTCAGTACGTCCAGCAGTTCCTGCAGTACGAGTGCCTGGGGACCCTGCGGAGCCTGGTGCAGCGGGGACGGGCGGTGCTGGAGCAGCAGGGTGAGTGAGCAGCGGGGATCTGTCATGGGGTGTGGGTGACGGGGCACGGGGACCCCAGTGGGAGTTGGGTATGTCCAGAAAGGGTGGTGTGGCCTAGTGGATAGTGCAGTGGGCTGGGACTCAGGACACCTGAGTTCTAGCCCCAGCTCTGCCACTGGCCTGCTGGGTGAATCACTCCCACGCTCTGTGCCTCAGTTTCCTCATGTGTACAATGGGGCTAATGACTCTGACCTCCTTTGTAAAGCGCTTTAAGATCAAGTGCTCAACGAGAGCTACAGGTTGCTACCATAACTCCTCACTTAACGTTGTAGTTCTGTTCCTGAAAAATGCAACTTTAAGTGAAACAAATCCAATTGTCCCATAAGATTTAAGGTAAATGTGGGGGGTTAGGTTCCAAGGACATTTTTGGGGGCAGACAAAAGGCATTAGATACTGACCAGTACTGTGCCCCTGGCTTACCCCGCACAGGCACAGAGCAGGACGCTAGGAAGCACCTTTGCAGCGGCAGCTTCCCTGGAGAACAGGCTTGGATTTTGCCAGGAATGCTCCAGGCCCGCCTCTTCCTGTCCCCGCTCCACCTCCTCTCCGGAGCACGCCACATCCCTCCCGCCCTAAAGTCCTAAGCGCCGCCAAACAGCTTCCGGAAGCTGGGAATGGGCGACAGGGGATGGATCACTTGATGATTCCCTGTTCTGTTCATTCTCTCTGGGGCACCTGGCACTGGCCACTGTCGGCAGACAGGATACTGGGCTAGATGGACCCTTGGTCTGACCCAGTGTGGCCGTTCTTATGATGGCTCAGTGACCACCTGCCTGGGCGTACCCATCTTAAGGCGCAGAACAGCACACAGCGAAGGAGACCCGGGCGCAGGCCTGTGCTGGTAACTACCCAATTCAGCTACACCAATTTGAGCAAGGATTAGAGCACTTCAGATGAGTTTGCAGAGGGGATTTACACCAAATTAACTAGCTCCGTTTACAAATCAGTGTAAACGGGTGCAGACCAGGTCTCACACACACTTGAGTCCTCGACACACTGCAGGTCTTTGTCTTCTGCCTGTTACATGGTCCCAGCCCGGGCATGTGGCTCACGCACTGTCTGTCCCCCCCAGTGCCCCCCAAGGTCTCGGTCTCCCGCAGAGACGCCCCAGACAGCTCCATCACCCTCTCCTGCCACGTCAGGGGCTTTTACCCACGTCCCATCCACCTCTCCTGGGTGCGGGACAGAGAAGACATCCTGGTGGAGACGGGCTCCAGCGGGATCCTGCCCAACGCTGACGGCACCTACTACACGCAGTCGTCCCTGGAGATCTCCCCGCAGCAGGACGGGCACTGCTACGCCTGCCGGGTGGAGCACAGCAGCCTGGAGGAGCCCGTGCTCGTCTGGGGTAAGGGGGGTGAATGGCAGGGCCCAGGGGTTGGGGGCACAGTCCCATGGGAATTACAGAGATGGGGTGAGGCTGGGCCACAGGAAGGTCAATATACCTGCCCATCGTCAGAGCGAATTCGTCTAGCTCTGGGTATTCGTGTGACCCACAAAAATGGCCGATCCCTCAGCAAATCTCATTAAGTTTCTGGCCGTGGTGCCATCCAGTGACAGTGAGTTCCACAGGCTGATGTCGTTACGAGGGAAGGGCCTGGTTGCTGTGTGGCGTGTGTGTCTGGCAGTGCCCGGCAGAGCACCCACCCTCTGTGCCCCATCCCCGTCCCCGTCCCGGCTCAGCCTTTCCCCTCCCCTGGGGCCAGGTCTCTGCAGACGCCCTCGGGGAGACGTTCGAGGCAAAGGCCTGTGGCTGCCCCAGGAGGATGCCCCAGCGGCTGCTCCCCTCGGTGACCTGGGCCCTTCTCCATCCCACAGCCCCTGGGAAGAAGGGCCCCCTGCCCCCCGGGGTCTTGGCCGCCATCGTCCTGGCCGGGCTGGTTCTGGCTGGAGCCGTAGGGGCCGGCGTCGTCCTGTGGAGGAGAAAATCGGCAGGTAACAGCTGGTCCCCGTGGAGCCGGGATGTGGGGAGGTCTGGGGAGTGGGGCGGCCCAGCCAGCCCAAGGGGGAATGGCTCCTCCCACTGCCCCCCAAGGAGAGGTGGGGCAGGGCCTTGGGGCAGGGCCAGTCACCATAGCCCGGCCCTGCTGGGGGCAGAGTGGGCTCTGTTGTTGTCTGGGCACCGTGTGCCCTGCTGTGGGGGGCACTGGGGTGGGGCTGGCCTGTGCTAGGTGCAGTCAGGGTCACGGGGAGCCCTGTGTCTGGGGGAGGGGGGTTGGGGTCTCCGTGGGGGAGGGGTTATCCTGCTCCCCTGCACTGACCCTCATTCTCTGCTTGTGTTTCAGGCCCCATGAATCCCGGCTACACTCCAGCAGCCAGTGAGTAAATCGAGGGTACAGTGCCCAGCACCCCAGTGCATTATGGGTGCAGGGGGGTCCCCATGGGGGGAGAAGGGATGCAGGCACTGATGGGGCTGGACTGCGTGAGTCCCAGGGTCACTCCAGCGGCCAGTTGCAGGCCAGACCAGCCGACCGGGAGCTTCTGAGTGTGAGGGAAAAGCCAGAGCCCGGCGGTGTCTGTCGGGGGCGGGTACGACCACTGCGTTTGGGGTTCGAACCCGTGTCCATTCCCAGCCCGGGGCAGGTCGCTCCATAGAGAGGAGTTAGTGTGGGGTGCATGGGGGTGCAGTGGGAGGGAAGCCCAGAGCTGAATTCCCCTCCCCCTTCCCTAGCTGGGATCCCCAGAGCTAACGCTGCCTCTGAACAATTTTCTTCTCTCTCCACAGCATAGATCAGAGAAGATTCTGCCTCCAGCTCGTCATTGGGAACCGACCCCCGGAGCGTGGGACCCCAGTGCTAGGGGCAGTGTCCCTGTGTTAGCATATAGATATTCAGGCCTGTCTGTAAAGGCCTATACTTTAAGAATTTAGGTGTATTTTTATCACTTAGCTAGTTATAGAGGTATAAAAGAAAGAATCAAAATCACTGTCTGCCGGTGTAAGGGCCTTTTCTCACTGTCTGAGGCCTTGTTTAGTCATATTGAAATAAGGTGCTATTGGGCTGTTAGGAAGGTGATCCGATCTATCACCTCCAGAGAAAGGGAAGAGCCTAGACCAGGGGTTGGCAACCTTTCAAAAGTGGTGTGCCGAGTCTTCATTTATTCACACTGATTTAAGATTTCGCGTGCCGGTAATACATTTTAACGTTTTTTTAGAAGGTCTCTCTCTATAAGTCTATATTATATAACTAAACTATTGTTGTATGTAAAGTAAACAAGGTTTTCAAAATGTTTAAGAAGCTTCCTTTAAAATTAAATTAAAATGCTGATCTTACGCCGCCAGCCTGTTCAGCCCACTTCCAGCCTGGGGTTCTGTTCACCTAGGCCAGCAGCAGGCTTAGCGGAGCCTGCGGCCGAGACGCCGGCTGGCAAGGGGCTGGCAGCCGGGACTCCAGACCTGAGGGGGGGGGAGGTTCAGGGGTCAGGGCAGAGGGCAGTGGGGATGTGGGGGGGTTCAGGGCAGAAGGGTGGGTGTGTGTGGAGGTGCAGGGCAGAGGGTTGGGGGAGTGTGGAGGTGCAGGGCAGAAGGCTGGGGGTGGGGGGAGAGTTCAGGAGTCAGGGTAGAGGTCTGGGGGTGTGTGGAGGTGCAGGGCAGAAGGCTGGGTGTGTGTGGGGGAGTTCAGGGGTCCCCCCAGGGCCCCAACCCCCTTCTCCACCCCGCTCAGTGGAACAGATTCGGTTGTCTTCACCCCCCGACTGAAAACGAGAGGGATCCTGGAGCCGCAGCTCTGTGGGTGGAAGATGACCCAGAGTTGTTGTTCGACCTGCACGAGAACAAAGCCAGGAACCCCCCTGTGACGTTATTGATATAATCTGGGACCATATAGATCATTGTTGCAACCAAGGTCCTGTAGTGGCACCAAAATCTTGTATAAAGGGGGTCAAATGGGGTGTCTAAGACAAGGTTATGGATTACTGGTTATAATTATGCTATCTATATGTGTGTATCAGTTTTGTAGTTGAAGTTATGAATATTGGCTCTATACTGTCTGTATTTCAAACTTATGCTATGCTTCTGGGTGACATCCCAGACAAGCTGGTGTTACTCTGCCTAGCCTGCTTGATGGCCCATTAAGGACCATCAGCTATACAATGGACCCATTGAGAGAAAGCCAATATGCCTTCAGACTCAGCAAAGTATGCAGGGACTGGCCCATGTGACTCCAGACTCCATTTTGCTGTAATTTTCCACAGTAAGAACAAAGAGGTGTTCTT